AATCAATGTTTTTTCTTAATAAAAAAAAATTTAGAATCCATTTCTGCTCTGTATCTTTACAAGTTTTATTTCCAGGTACATTAATTTTTCTTTTCTATCTGAAAATATGCTGTCTCTTCAAGAAACTAGTAGAAACAGTTTACTTATCTGGCCCTTTAAATCACACCCTTTCATTCCGCATCAGCCAGGAATATATCCTGCAACATGAGTATAATGGTAATTTCATTTAGCATTAACATATGTCATGTATGAATCACATACCAGAAGCAGTATAATAAATCTGCTGTTTTGTCTCCATTATGAACTTCTATTTACTAAAACAACTTTAAAAACTGGAATTTATGGACAATTGAAACAGTTGGACTTTCTGAAACAAATATTAAATTCATAAAAGGAATAAGAAAGTTGTCGATTTTGCAAGGTGGGTGCCAATTATCAGAAGTATTTTCTCAGTATCTTAAGCTCAGCAGTTAGCCTTACATTCACTATTACAGTTTTGGAAAAAGAAAACACTCTAGGAACGGGAGGTATAGGTACCTGTGTTGGTTGATAACTTCAGTTCACTCCTGGAATCCCCTTTCTAGAATTTTCCACTTACTCAAATTCACTTTCCTCAAGTTTCAGTTCTTAATGCTGATCAGGATTATTGCAGGGTTCAGTTTTGTGTAGCAGACTGAAGGCAGAGATAACAAGATAGCTAGAGTTTTCCTATCTGATGGGCCTCACTCCTGCAGTCTGGAGAGTGGAGTAGCATTTTCCATAAGCTTGTTGGACACACAGTCAAAGACTGAGTGGGTGCGGTAACGTAGCCTTTGACCCTTGCTATGCCAAACCTAGAAACGAGTATTCAGCTGACTTGATTCAGGGAAAATCAAAAGTCAAACGTATTAAGTCTCAACTGTTTCTACTTCCATCTGAGGAGACGTTTTATTAGCCTTCAACCTTGAGGTTTATACCAGTATGTCTGATCCTTCAGTGTGCCTTAACTCCCTGAGAATCTTCTTATGATGCGGATCCTGATCCAGCATGTCTGGAATTTGGCTCAAGATTCTGCATATCTCGCAGAGAAACTCCCAGGTGATGCTGGTGCTGGTAAGATGCTGGTCCATAGGTCACACTTTGAGTAGCAAGGGACTTCAGAGGCTTAGAAGCTCTTAAACTTTGGTGTGCAAAAGAATTCCCTGGGGAACTTACTTAAAATGCAGAATTCTAAACTCCATACCCAGAGGATCTGAGGTGGAGCACAGGATTCTATTTTTTTAAAGTACTCCAGGTGTTTACGTTTCACAGCATCATTGGTAGATTACTACTGAAGAAAGACAAGTTCAGGGTGTGCTGAATTAATCCAAGGTGCCAATTTGACTTTACAACATCCTAAGACTGTGATGTGAGATAAGCGATTTAACATCTCTTAGGCATCATCCCAAGATTATTAAATGGGGTTTATAATGTTTTCTGCACTGGTGTCCCAGCATTGCTGTGAGGTACTAATGATATCATGTATCCTTACAGGTGATACAAATGTAAGTTATCTGGCAACCCCGTGTAATCATCCTAGAGTCACTTGATATCAAGACTGTCACCACCTTCTTCCTGATATGATGCCAGCCCCACTTTTCCACCCTCTGAAATATTCAGAGAGGATGACGGTAATATGCTCTGAAGGACTCCTGGAACATCACCAGGAGAGTCCATCAAAGAAGCAGGCTTCACCTGTGTCTATTTAAAGTTGACTATGCTTCAGGTTAGGACAATTTGAGATGCAAATTTAAATCTACAAAGCCCCAGTTTCCTAAGAGATCACTTTTCTCTTCACAGTCCAATAAGATCTTTGTTCTTTTTTTGTTCTTGGAGTCTAAAGCTTTGGTTTAGAGACCTGTAACATACAGTGAAAAAACTTTTTTCTTTTTCTTCTCCAACTAGTAGAAAAAAAGGATGAGTGACAGTGTTTGCATCAGATGTGTCTCTGCGGCAAAAGGGTTGATGATGTTTTCGGTAAATTAAAAACAATGCAAGTGTCAAGTGATACCCTAGCTTTTCTATTTCTTCCATTTCATTGAACATCTATTCAATCCTGCAGTTCCATCCACCAACAGAAAATATCCTCTCATCTTTCCAAGGGCATCCTCCTCCAGCTCCAGCTCCCTCACATTCAACATCTGTTGTTTATTCAAGACGCAAGAAATTCCCTTTGGGGAAAGATCTTAATTCAAGGACACGTCAGTGTACAACCCCTTGGAAATAATGAGCTGAGCCAATGCAAAATTCAAATATCAATTTTAAATATAAAATAAGTAAACTCAATATGTAAAACTGTACTCCACGGTATCTGAATCCACATTCACACTAAGATTATGGATGCACACAAATGCACAACATTTTTTTTTAAATCCATTATAACTGAAAAGAATTTTTAATGCAAATCTTGCACTGAACTCAGCTGGTTGGTGAGTCTCTGTAAAACTTAAAGGAAGCAAGGTGACTCCTGGTAACCTGAGTAGTGAGAAGGACTTCAGCGAAGTTCCTCCCATCCCACACACTTGCCACTCACCTGCCTGCACCTAAACTCCAAATATCTTCCCCACCAGACTGATTTCCAGAACTAACATTAGTAAGTCTTTCCTTGGAGTTAAAAAAGAAAAAAATAGGCCAGGTGCAGTGGCTCATGCTTGTAATCCCAGCACTCTGGGAAGCCAAGGCAGATAGATTGCCCAGAAGTTGAAGACAAGCCGGGGAAACATGGTAAAACCTTGTCTCAAAAACAAACACACACACACACACACACACACACACACACACACACAAATTAGCTGGACAATGTGGTGCATGCCTGTAGTCCTAGCTACTTAGGAGGCTGAGGTGGAAGGATTGTTTGATCCTGCGAGGTAGAAGATTGCTTGAGCTCCAGAGGTCAAGACTGCAGTGAGCCATGGTTGCACCATTGCACTCCAGCCTAGATGACAGAGTGAGACCCTGTCACACACACACACAGCAACAACAACAACAAAACACACAAAAAAGGTAACATGTTAATCTTTGTCAGTTACTGGTCCCTCCATATGATTAAATCTACCATTTTTCAACAAGGATATCCATACTGGTTTCCTACTGCTACAATGATGAATTAGCACTAATTTAGCAGCTTAAAACACAGATTTCTCTTCTTACAGTTCTGGATATCAGAAGTCCAAAATGGGTTTGGCTGAGCTAAAATTAAGCTGTTGCAGGGCAGCATTTCTCCTGCAGACTCCAGGAGAAAACTGATTTTCTTGACTTGTCCAGTGTGTAGGGGCCACCTGCATCCCTTGGTCCCTTCCTACATCTTCCAATGCGGTAGTGTAGCATCTTCAAATCTCCCCCTCTCTCACACACGTGCATCCCTGCTTCCATATTCATATCTTCTCTGACTCTGCCTTCTTCTTTCATCTTTTAAGAACCCCTGTGATTACATTGAGCCAATCCAGATTGACTTGTATTATTATAAGGTAGTCTCTCAATCTTCAGGACTTTACTCATATCTACAAAGTGCATTTTGCCAAATGAAGTAACCTATTTACAGGTTTCAAGGATTAGGATATAGAAAACTTATCCACTATTCTGCCTACCACTGGATCCAGAAAGCAACCATATAAAAAGGGGTTGGTTTTGATAGTAAGTACAGGAAATAAAGAAGTTAGAAGTAAATACCAGAATGAAAATGGATGGGACACAAAATAAAGAAAGATATCAAGCACCTGGAAGAGAGGGTATGACCAAATTAGGGAAAAAAGCCTTAACAAAAAAACATAAACAGTGATGAAGATAAACTCCATCTGCTTCACCTAAGCTCCGCAACAAAATAAAAAATATGTAGGTGGGAAGCACAAATGTGCTGGTGATTACATATACATGTACATACACACACACACAGAAATATCTGATGTGAATTATGCCTTTTGATGGTGGTGTTATAGGTAACCTTTTTTTTCTTTCTGTAATTTTTGTTAATTCCACCTTCTAAATATTCTCCCCCACTTACTGTGAACTGCCCAAGCCCTGGTGCATTCCGTTTCCCTGGGATTACTAGAGTTGCCTCTGAAATCGTCTCTTTGCTTTCCAATTTGCTCCTTTAATTCCTTCTCCAAACATCATCCAAAAGTATCAATCTGATCTGCTGCCACTCTACTCCTAGCTGCTCCTGCAACCTCAGCTCTTTGACGGCTGTTCTCACACTCTGTGCCTGTCATACTGAACTTCTTCATAATCCTTGAAGCCAGACCTCCTGCCATGTTCTCCCATAGTAGCCTGAATGAATACTTTTCCTACTGTTTCACACTGTCTCGATTTTTTGTGAGACTGTATCTCCTTAAGGGCATTGTTATTATAAATCCAGCTTTTAACATGATTCCCAGCACATAAGAGTTCTTAGTAAATGTGTTGAATTAACAAATGCACTACTTCAAACTATAATTACAGACAAGATACCCTTTCTTCTTTTCTCAGCCAAGTTCATAGATGGCACTTTTGCCCTGTTGACCCCCTTGCCACCTACTGCCTCCAGGAGAGAAAATTGGAGGTGAAATAGCTAAATGGTTCATATCCTTTGGCCTACAGTGATGTGCTTCAGAAAACTACTCATTGGAGTGACATATAAATTACTAATGATGTATGAACTATGATTACATTCATTTGAAACACGGATAGAAGTGTAACCAAGCACCAGAAACACTTGTAGAAAAATCAAAGATAGTTTTGTTATGAACTGGCACTGTGGGTAGGGCATTTCCTTTTTTAAAATGCTTTTTGTTTCATACATCTCCTTTCCGGGAAAGTACTGCTACTATTCATAGTGAACTGGCTAGACAGAGCACTGCACATGCATGTGAAGACACATACAAAGACACACCCCCACCCAGTTAAATTCAGTCAAATGGTAGGTGTTTTCGCTTCATGTCGCCAGACAATTCATATTTGTATACACGTTTGAAAGTTTTAACACTATTTCTTGGTCCATAGGAAGTCATTTTTTTTCCTTTTTGAATATAAGTAGCCTGGCAGCAAATATCTAAAAATTATGCAATGGACGTAGTTTTTATTCCATCTGCCAAAAGCTCCAGAGCAGGAGGAGGGGTGATGCCTTTTGTTCCATCTCAAGAAGCAGGAGCCACCTTCCAGTTTTGAGTAACCCCTGGCCCAGCATGGTGGTGGGGATGAAAGCTGGGGAGGTGAAGCTCTAGCACTGACCAAAGGAAAGGAAAAGTTCACATATGAAATATTTTAAAGCTGGTGGTGTTGAAAATACTGTTATTGCTTTGTATTCTACTATGTGATACTAGGTTATGAGTAAAACAATGGATAAGTCATGGCCTCCAGCTCCCATGAATTAGTGATAAATGTTGATATCTTTTTTTTTAACCTAAAATTCAAGATGCAGCATATTATATGAACGTTGCTATAATAATAACAATAGCTTCTGGGCTGTTTTCTGAAATGATGCAGATGCTACATCATTCTGTAATTAGAACCCAACTCGCATCTCTTTTATCTTACCCTTACTATTTCTATCAAAATGCCTGATTAACAATCATGATTAGGACTAGTGGCCACAGTCAGTATTAGTGGATCTTTAAACCTCTGTCAAATCCACGGAGGTCAGCTTTGTTTATTTTTCGAGAAAACGCAAAGTTATTTTGGCTAAGACATTTAAAGAATCTCTAATAATCCAATAACAAAGACAAGGAAAATGTAAAACAATATCTAGATTTAGATCTGCTAAATTTCATAGTGAACAGTATAGAAAATAGCATTTTTCCTGTTACATTTACATAACTATATGATAATTAACTGCAACATCATTGGGTTGTATTTTCACAAATGGGTAACACTGAGTAGAACCAATACTGGATTTCTCTTACATAAAAATTTGTAGCACTGAAGTATGTCATTAGTTTTACTAAAGAAATTATTAAAACACTACTCCATGCAAGGTACAAAATGAGGCTTTTAAAGGACATAGGGGTTAATACATAGGAATTTTTAAAGAAAATGCCGTGGTCTTGTCCTCAATAGTTATTCTACAAAAATTACTGAACGTGGAAAAAAAGTTCTGTCACTTAAAGTTACAGAAGTGCACAATAAACAGAATAAGAAGATTGGTATTATTCATTATTAACAACACAGCAGGTACTTAATGACAGTTTAGTGATGATATATAATAAAGTGATTCTTACTCTGAGGCAACTTTTTTAATTGTAACAGCTTTTTGGTAATCAGTGCCACCAAAATTCTTTAATAAATTTCAGAGAGTAAATCACCTTTTAAAAATTAAATACCCACAAAAACCATATAGGGAATGGTTCTTGAACTTTAATTTCAAATAATGCTTTCTTTGTGAAACAGCCATACTCTAAGATCCTTTTGGTACTACAAACATCGCTGCCTGGATGAAGTTCAAGGCTAGCCTGTTTCATACCAAAATTCTTAGCTAAAAATAATATCAGTAATAAAAATAGCTAACAATTTTTGAGCAAAGCAATCTATTGAAAATCAGAAACACTAAGGTCCCTGTTTATTGATTTTGCATAGATAGTAAGGTGACTTTAGAGTTAAGAAAGGAATTATAAAAATGCAAGGATAGACATTTCTTTAAAAAGAAATTAATTTGCTAAAATACTTCAGAGGTGAAAACGAGCTTTGCAGAAGTAAGCAAGTGCCTTTGGCCAGAGAGCTAGTAAATGAGGTAGCCAGGATTTTGATCCATTGTATATCCTACTCCATTTTCATGCTTCTAACCATCATCCTGTATGGCCTCCCAATATAAGAAAACGTGAACACAGGATTCTTAGGTATTATTTTATTGCATTTGGTGGAGAGGTCCCACATGGCAGCTCATGGTTCTAAGTTGGACCCCAGAAATGTTTAAATTGGCCTGCAGTTTAGCTCCTTCCCACTGTATTCATCTGTCTGTCCCTGAAGTTACTTGAGATGCAACCTCTGAGATACTATGGTCTGTATTTCAAATGATTTTAAAAGTATCTTCTCAGATTGTATTCATTAGAGAGAATAAATCGAAAAGTTAACAAGAAATGTAGAGTTATTCCCATGAAAGTGGACCGATGCACAGAAATCCTAAATAATTCACCAAGATTGGCAGTAGAAAGTAATGAAAGGTCATTAGCTCTGTCTTAGATTTTTATTCAACTACTTTGGGATAAGTTGCTAAAACCATCTGAGCCTCAGTTTCATCATCTATAAAATGGGGCTCTTATTACTACTCCAAATAGATGTAGTGAGGCTTAAATTATACAGATAAACCCTTCAACCAAATGTCTATCGTATAGCAGATTCTCGATAAAAATTAATTTTTTCTATTATTAGTGATGGAGGACAAAGTTAATAGTGTATGAAGAAATTAGGTCATCGGATAAGATAATAAAGATCCCCTCTGCTCTCTCTCCAGGGTATGATCCAACCCACCATTGTGAATACAGATTAGAGGCTTAATTAAAGTTGAAGGGTAAAATCAATATAGTCTTGAGCTAAATGAAAAGAGAATCAATGTTTAACTAGAGTTTTAATTATAAAAATGAACATACACTTATGGTAAAAAGAAATCCAAAGAGTCATAGGAATAAAACTACAAGTAATGGGATGCAAAACTCCAGCAACACCCCAGAAATTATTACTGCTGGTTACAACTGTAATCCTAAAATTTTTATTCTAAGACTTTTTATAACATTCATGTATATAGATACTAATATTTTATGTGTAGCTATTTATATAAAATAAATTATAAGTATATAAATATAAATACAATAGTCCCTCATTATCCATGGGTGATGAATTTCAAGATCCCCATGAATGCCTGAAACCATAGACAGCACTGAACTCTATATTTACGAAGTTTTTTCCTATAAAAACATACCTATGATAAACTTTATGAATCAGGCACAGTAGGAAATGAACAATAATAGCTAATAATAAAATAGAACAATTATAACAATATGTCAACATCACTACTATTGCTCTTTGGAGTCATTATTTAATAAAATAAGGGTGACTTAGACACAAGCACTCCAACACTATGACAGTTGTTCTCAGCAAGATGGCTGCTAGGTGACTAACAGCAGAGACATACACAGAGTGAACAGGCTGAGCAAAGGGATGATTCATGTCCCAGGCAGGATAGAGTAGGACAGTGTGAGATTTCAGCAGGCCACTCAGAATGGTGTGCAACTTCAAAATTATAAATTGTTTATTTCTAGAATTTTAAATATATTTTCAGACCATGGTTTACCACAGGTAACTGAAGCAGTGGAAAGCAAAACAGTGGATAAGTCAGGACTACCATACACACATAAATGAAAACGTGTACTATACAGTGTATACATATCCATATATGTATGTATGGCAAACACACATATGGCATATTCTTTACAATATCTATGTACTACTCTATAATTCAGTTTCCATCATTTTTTAACAATTTTGAGCTATTACAAACATTACTGTGACAAGCAAATCTTTGCATATGTGTGAGGCTCTATCTCTAGGATCCATTCTAGAAGTAGAAGAGCTCAGAAATGTCAATTTTAAGTTGTGGTGGATTTTACCAACTATGCCACAGAAAGTAGCCCATCCCTCCAACAGTCTATGAGTGTCCATTCACTCACGACCTCTTCATTACTGTTTAATCTCTGACAATTTGAGGAGAGGCAAATGGAGTTGACATGGGAGGGGGACAGGGAAGTGCTGGGCAGAGAAAGGTGGGATCCCTGGCAAGGGCTCCACCCTCGGGCCTATGCCCATGGACCTAGGTGAGGACAGGCATTTCTGTTTTTACACCCAAATGTTGCAATTTCCAAAATAACTCTAGCTTGCCATGCCCCCATCCTGTGCTTTTAAAAACCCCAAGACTATAGCAGGCACAGACACAAGTGGCTGGATGTTGAGAGGAACATGCCAGAAGAACACACAGGCACCTGGACATTGAGAGGAGCAGAAGAGCACACTGACAGGCACCAACAAATGCAGGCCATTGACACCAAGATGATATGGAATTCAGCTGGGGGCAGTGGGAGAAGAGACTGGCAGGCTGCTGAGTGGCTCAACCCCAGGGGAAGACCACTTTCCCACTCCATTCCCCTTCTGGCTCCGCACCCATATCCTGAGAACTACTTCCACCAGTCATTAAAAACCCTTGCAATCATTCTCCAATCCCACATGTGATTCAATTTTTCTGGTACACTACTGCAAGAACCCTAGACACAAAAAGCCCTCTCTCCTTGTGATAAGACAGAGGGTCTAACAGAGCTGATTAACACAAGTGGCCTGCAGAGGGCAAAACAGAGAGTGGCACCGTAACACATGCCCACTGGAGCTTCGGAGGCTATAAACACTCAGCCCCAGAAGCTGCCATGGGTTGGCAATCACCATGATCTGTCCATCTGCATGCTTCCCTAGGAGTATGATCAGCTGAGCCCCAAAGAAATGAGCCATACACACTATTGCATGCCCTTGAGTGGGATTAGGGAACTTCTCCCATTTCAGAATCTGACTTCATTATTTGTGAAGTTGAAAATATTTTATCAGCCTTTGTTAATCTTTTTCTGTGAACTAACATTGGCTCATTTTCTTTTTAATTTGGGAGAGTTTTTTAAATAAGGAAATTATATTTTTTAAGTGTTGGCAAATAAATAAACTTTACCTTTTAAATTGTATGTTTTCTCATAGTCTGGATTTTGATTGCACTTATAAGTTTGTTTTCTTTTTTTTCTCAGCAGTTTTAAATCATTTTAAAACAAATTTTATCAGTCTTTATTCATAAATTCTGGATACTGGTTCATTTGTAGAAAGACTTTTTCCACTCAAGATTATTTATAAATTTACACAAACACTTATTTTCATGACTTACTTTCACTTTTTACATATAAGTATCATTTGCGTTTGTGATTCCATTTGGTGTAATGATATACAACTTGGTTGATATACCCAAAAATTATTATATGATTTTTGAAGCTTTTTCCATTATTTTGAAATTGTTCATATTCTGAAGGGCATGCACTGGTGTCTATTTTTTATCTCTCCATTCTGTTTCATTAAATTGCCTTTTTATTTCTAGACTTATGTAAAATACGTTAGCATGTAAATATATATCAAACAAATGTAATTGTTCACATTACTCCTCCTAAATTTTCTTAGCTAATCTCATATTCTAAATGAATTTTTGTTGAATACAAAATGAAATCTGACAATTTGGAGGGACAATATGGCATACTTAGGTTCTCTGGGTTATTAATAGCTGTGTGAACATAAGAAAGCCATTTAAACTTTCTGTGACTCTGTTGCTTCATCTATATAAAAAATCATAATAATTTCACTTTTTCATGAGTATTGTAAAGATTATGGAGAAACAAAAAAGTATAAATTTAACTCCATGCCTGGTAACAGATAAATACTATAAATGTTACTAATTCTATCATTAATGACTTAGGGAAAATTGCCACATTTACAATATAAAGCCTTCTACAGTTCAATGGGTTAGACTTTTCTATTATTTCAAGGCAGGGTTCTTATTTACATCATTTCCTAGCACTTTTAAAGTTTTGCTTATATAGTTACTGGATGTTTTGATAAGCCAATTTGACCATCTCTTTCTGCTATTAGTGATTGTATATTCTCACAATTTTTAATTGCCACATAAACATCCTACTGTTTGCAACAATTCTTAAATTTACTCTCTTGTGTTTCACTGGTGTAATCATAACATTTAATAATAATGTTAAGGTTCACTCTTTTCTTCTAGCTTGATATTTTTCTTGACTAATTGCATTGGCTAATAACTAAACATATCACTTAATCCCAATGATAATTTTACCTTTACTAAAATTCATACCTATTTTTCTTCTTGTCTAATTGCATTGGCTAGTATTTTTAAAAATTATAAATAATATAACTGCTGATGTTCTTCAATAACTCCCATCTTTAATAGCATTGCTTGTATTGTTTTGACATTCAGTATGATATGAACTGTTGAGAAACATTAAGTTTACCCTGCCCCCATGGCTCCTTTGTGGAGGATGCCGTATAGGTTGTGATTAGTGGTAGGTGGGTAACAGCTGCCTACTTGGTATATTCCTGAGTTATGTGTATATGTAGAACACCTGTGTGTTAATAAGAGTGTATATAGAACACCCGTGTATTAATAAGAATCACCTGTCAAAGAGCAAATAAATGTGTGGCTGAATCTCTGCTCAGAGCCTTCAGTCCTGAAGAGCTGCAAGCTCCGTAGGCTCTCAGGCTGTTGGTCCCCAGAGTAGATCCACTCTGTTGGCTATCTGGGTGTCCACCTCTTACTGCCTTGTAACACCTTCAGACCACCTGGGTGGGAGTCTCCTGACTGAGCTGCTCTTGGCAATGGATTTTCAATTTGCAGTATATATTCTGTACTATTAATAATACATCCAACACTTACTAATTTAATAAGAGCTTTTTTATATGAATAAATGTCAATTTATAAAATACATCTTACATATTGTTGTGTAAATATTAACATTTTCTTCTACTCTGACCTGTTAATGCCTATATTTAGGTAGCAGTTTCAATAATATTGAACATTCACAATTTAATTCTACATAATTTCATTTTCTTTGGTGTGGGAAAATCAGAAGGAACATGAAAGAGGTAAAGAAGATGTAATGATAAAGAAGAGGATGTAAATGTAGGTATGTATATGTATACATATGATATGGTTTAGCTCTGTGTCACTACCCAAATATCACCTTGATTATAATAATCACCACAAGTCAAGGGTGGGACAAGGTAGAGGTCATTGGATCATGGGGGCAGTTTCTCCCATGCTGTTCTTGTGATAATGAGTGAGTCTCATGATCTGATGGTTTTATAAGTGTCTGGTATTTCCCCTGCTTGCATTCATTCTCTCTCCTGCTTCCCTGTGAAGAGGTGCCTCCAAGATGATTTTAAGTTTCCTAAGGTATCCCCTTAGGGAGAATTGGAATTGTGAGTCGATTAAATCTCCAAGTGGAATTGTGAGTCGATTAAATCTCCTTTATAAATTACCCAGTCTTTGATATTTCTTCATAGCAAGATGAGAACAGTCTTATACAACATATTTGTACATATGTATATATAAGAACACAAAAAAATGTGTTTATTATTTAACAATTAACCTTTTTTTGCCCAAGAGGGCAGATTAGAAGCCTTAGTGTATCTTAGTCACTTGGAAATAGATCAGTTCTGAGAGCTTTAATTTAGGAAGGAAAGTAGGAATCCATTCATGGAATTATGAAGGACACCATAGACCCCAGAAAGGATAATTTAGGCAAGCATCCCTCATGACAGCATCCAGCTAATAAAAGTGAGTGATTCCCCAGTGCATGAGAGAGTCCAAGAGTCTTCCTCTGTGACTCACCTTTCCACTGGGGAGCCAAGCAATCCAGGCTGATGAAGGACACTTTTTTTCCCTCAAGCCCTAAAGTTAACTTGGAGAGAAGTTTAGAAACACTGTGATGGATAAAAGACACCAGGAAAAGCTTCAAGAATTTTTCCAGAATGAGGACAAAGATTGGGATGCCATTTTAATCTGAGTGCATATAAAATAAAGACAGCCCTTCTTTAGTGACCCGGCAACATGATCATGCAGGCATTTTTGTCTCAGTCCAGAGGTTGAGGTCCCTGCTCTGGAGTAAGATCTGCTCTGGGGAAAACCACAGCCAGAATTGTGGAAAGTGCCTCAGCAGTAGATGCTGAAATTGTGCATTCCCAAACTGCAGGCCTGTAGCAGGAAGCTATCTGCTACAGCTGCAGTTTCTCCAGTTTCTCCTGGGCAGCAAGAGCTACAGCCAGGACCAGCTTGGCAACGTAGAACAAATCTGTGTGTGTTTCTGGGTGCTCCAGTCAGCTTCCCTGAGATTGTGGTGTAGTAGGGCTCTCTTCCTTTCACCCCCAGGCAAAACTCCAGGCATTCAAATCACTGATTTTCTGAACCAGCATCCTGAGCTGCCCTGCCATCCCTGGGCATAAATCATGATGCATCAGGGCCCTCTCAGCTCCACACTCAGGCAGATCTCCAGGTATTTAGAGCATTTACTCATCTGGTTTAGCAGCTTGAGCCACCCCAGCCTTCATGAGTATAAATTGTGGTGCAATGGAGTCCTCTCAGTGCTACACCCAGGCTGCAGCAGGGGCTCTCTCCACTTCACACCCAGTTACATTTCAAAGTATTTAGAGTACCCAATTTCCCTGATAAGCAGACAGAATTGCCTTACCCTTCCTGTTCAGAGACTGTGGTAAATTGGGCCCTCTTTGCTCCATGCCCAAGCAGATCTCCAGGCATGCGGAACATCTGCTTGCCTGATTGAGCAGCTGGAGCTAGCCCATCCTTCCTGTGAAGAGATAGTGGTAAAGTGGGGCCCTCTCCACTCCATGCCCAGGCAGATCTCCAGGCATTTGGAGAACTCACTAACTTGAATCAGCAGCCTGAGCCAAATCACTCTTCCAGTGCAGAGATCATGGTTAAGGGGGAAGGGGCTCTTCAACATATGACCAGGCATATCCCATTCACTTAGATTAGCATCTTAAACTGCCCCATCCTTTCTGTGCATATTACAGTACAGCAGGGTCCCCTGCACTCTGTGTTAAGGCAGATCTCCAGGTATCTGGTACATTCACTCTCCTGGATTAGGCATGTAGGCTGTGCCCCTCCCCATGCAAAGAGCTTGGGCAGAGGAGATTTCTCAGCTCTATAACTAGGCAGAGCTCTTGGCACTTGGTGGCTGCCCACGGAAGTCTCCCTTACTTGCTAGTGCCTGCCATCAGGGAAACTGTAGATGGGCCAGCCCTGTATGACCCCACTCATCTCTTTACTGTCCCCCTGGGGCTGAGCAGAGAGCTCAGACCACTGAGCCTTCCATTAATTACCCCATTTTCTGAGGAAACAGAGAGGTCTTAGTAAACAATAATGAAGTATATGTTCACTTGCATTGACTGAAGCTAGCACTTACCCATAAGTGTCATCTACTGGCTTATAGGTTGGACCATACAGCCCAATATAAAACCTATTGACAGAAGTGCATAGGGCTATAGGAGCAAGGCCAAAAGATTCTGCTCAATATCCTCTATAGTCACACCATCTAGGGAGGGAATGAAAGGGAATGGAAAAGAAAAAGAAACAATAATATTACAGGAAAAGAAAAAACCCTACTTGTATGAAAATAACTACAAAAATTAGAAGTGCCAGTGTCCTCAGATGAGAAGAAACCAATGCAAGAATCAGGCACTGTGAAATGTCTGGAGACTGGGTGCAGTGGCTTATGCCTGTAATTCTAACAGTTTGGGAAGCGGAGGTAGGCAAATTGCTTAAGGCCAAGAGTTTCATCCACCCTAGGCAACATGGTGAAACCCCAACTCAACAAAAAATATAAAAATTAGCCAGCTGTGATGGCATGCACCTGTGGTCCCAGGTACTTGAGAGGCTGAAGTGGGAAGATCACCTGAGTCCAGGGAGGTCAAGGCTGCAGTAAGTTGTGATCACACCACTGCACTCCAACCTGGGTGATAGAGTGAGAGCCTGTCCTAAAGAAAAAAAAAAAATCTGAATGCAGTGACAACACCAAAGGATCAAACTAGCTCTCCAGCAATTATCCCTAACCAAAACAGAAACTCAGAAATGACAGATAAAGGATGCAAACCATGAATTGCAAGCAAGTGCAATGATTTCAAGACAACATTGAAAGTCAGCACAAAGAAGCTTCTAAAACAATTCAGGAAATGAAGAAAGAGATAAATGTCTTAAAAAGAAATTAATTAGAGTATTTGCAATTGAAAACTCACTTAAGAAATTTCAAAATACAATCAAAACCTTATCAATAGACTGGACCATGCAGAAGAAAGAATTTCAAACCCAGTCAGAAAAAAATTTTAAAAATTTTTTAAATGAAGAAATTACTTGAGAAACATAGGATTATGTAAAATGACTAAACTAAATGGCAGAATCACTGCCATTCACATGAAAGAAGGAGACAAAGTAAGCAACCTAGAAAACACATTTGAAGGAATAAATCAAGAAAATTTTTCTAATCTTGCTAGTCAAGTAAATATCTATATATCACCTAACCTGTGTTAAACTATATGAAATGAAGATTACCAAGACATATAGTCACCAGACTGTCCAAGGTCAAACCTAAAGAAAAAGTCTTAAAAGTAGCTAGAGAAAAATGTCAGATCACATACAAAGGGAACTCTGTCAGGCTAACAATAGACTCTCAGCAGAAACCCTACAAGACAGGAAAGATTGGAGACATATTTTCAGCGTTCTTAAAAAAGAGAAATCTCGACTAAGAATTTTATATCTCACTAGATTAAGCTTCATAACTGAAGGAGAAATAAAATCTCTTCTAGACTTGCAAGGACTAAGGGAATTTGTTATCAGTAGACCAGCCTTACGAGAGAGCATTAAGAGACTGCTATATCTGAAAATGAAAGAACAATATGTACTGCCCCAGAAACATATGTAGTCCATAGCCCAAGATCCTATACAGCAACCACACATTTGAAACTACTACGCAACCAGCTAACAGCTTCATGATAGTATCAAAACCTCACATATCATTACTAAATATAAATGGTATAAATGCCACCACTTAAAAGGCACAGAACTTCAAATTGGTTTTAAAAAACTACACAAGGCCAATTTATCTGCTGTCTTTAAGAGACTCATCTCACATACAACAACACCTATAGGAACAAAGTAAAGGATTAGAGAAAGATCCATCATTCAAACAGAAAAAAAAGAAAGAAAAGAAAAGATAAAGACCAGGAGTCACTATTCTTATATCACATACAACAGACTTTAAACCACTAACAGTGCAAAAGAACAAAGAAAGAAATAATATAGTGACTGAGGGTTCAATTAAACAAGAAAACCTAGCTATTCTAATGCATAGGCACCCAACATTGGAGCACCCACATCCATAAAACAAATACTTCTAGTCCTATGAAAAGACATAGACAGCCACACAATAATAGTGGGGGACTTCAACAACCCACTTACAGCATTACACCAGTCATCCAGACAGAAAACTAACAAGGAAATTGTGGACTTAAACTTCACACTTGACCAATTGGACCTAATAGACATCTACAGAATATTCCACACATTAACCACAGAATATAAATTCTTCTCATCTGCTCATGGAACATACTATGAGTGACCACATGTTTGGCTATAAAACAAGCCTCAAAAACTCAAAAAAAAAAAATCATACCAACTATATTCTTGGTCCACAGTGAGATAAAAATAGAAACCATTGCTAAATAAATCACTTAAAGTAAAACAATTGCATGAAAATTAAACAGCTTACTTATGAGTGGCTTTTGGGTGAACAACAAAATTAAGGCAAAAATTTAAAAACATATTTGAAATAAATAAAAACAAATGAATAAAAACATGTCATACCAAAATCTCTGGGATACAGCAAAAGTAGTGTTAAAGGAAAGTTTGCAGTGCTAAACAACTACCTAAAAAAGTTAGAAAGATTTCAAATTAACTATCTAACAGCACAGTTAGAGTAACTAGAAAAACTAAAACAAACTAACCCTAAGGTTAGCAGAAAAAGAGAAATAACTAAAACTAAACCAGAACTAAATGAATTTGAGACCCAAAAGTCTATACAAAGAATAAATGACTAAAAAGTTGGTTTTTAGAAATCATAAAGAAAAATCTATAAATCACTAGCTAGATAAGCAAAAGCCAAAGTAGACAAATGGGATCTACTTAAACTTAAGAGCTTCTGCACAATGAAAGAAACTATCATTAGACAACCAACAGAATGGGAAAAAACTTTTGCAATCTACCCATCTGACAAAGGGCTAATATCCAGAATCTACAAAGAACTTAAACAAATTTACAAGAATAAACAACCCCATCAAAAAGTGGGTGAAGTATATGAACAAACACTTTTCAAAAGAATACATTTATGCAGCCAACAAACATGAAAAAAATGCTCATCATCACTGGTCATTAGAGAAATGCAAATCAAAACCACATTGAGATACCGTCTCACGCCAGTTAGAATGGTGATCATTAAAAAATATGGAGACAACAGATGCTGGAGAGGATGTGGAGAAAAAGGAAAGCTTTTACACTGTTTGTGGGAGTGCAAATTAGTTCAACTATTGCGGAAGACAGTGTGGCAATTCCTCAAGGATCTAGAAATAGGAATACCATTTGACCCAGCAATCCCATTACTGGGTATATACCCAAAGAATTATAAATCATTCTATTATAAAGATACATGGACACTTATGTTAATTGTGGCACTGTTTATCAGTGATAGACTGGATAAAGAAAATGTGGTACATATAAGCCGTGGAATACTATGCAGCCATAAAAAAGGATGAGTTCATGTCCTTTGCAGAAATATGGATGAAGTTGGAAACCATCATTCTCAGCAAACTGATAGAAGAGCAGAAAACCAAACACCACATGTTCTCACTCATAAGTGAGTATTGAACAATGAGAACACATGGACACAGGGAGGGGAACATCACATACCAGGGCCTGTTGGGGGGGTGGGGGAGCTAGGGGAGGGATAGCAGGGGGTGGGAGGATTGAGGAGGGATAACATTAGGAGAAATATCTAATGTAGATGCAGGAGAATAGATGCAGCAAACCACCATGGCATGTGTACACCTATGTAAAAATCCTGCACGATCTGCACATGTACTCCAGAACTTAAAGTATAACAAAAAAAAAAAAAAAAGAAAAGAAAAAAGAGAGAAGATCCACATAAGTACAATTAGAAACAACAAAGGTGATATTACAACCAATTCCACAGAAATACAAAGGATGTTCAGAGACTATCATATAAATGTCTATGCACACAACCTAGAAAACCTGGAGGAAATGGATACATTCCTGGAAGCACATAACCTCCCAAGATTGAATCAGGAATAAACTGAAATCCTATATAGACCCCAACTTCAAGTTCCAGTATTAAATCTGTAATAAAAAAAAACTACCAAGAAATAAAATTCCCAGACTAGATGGATTCATAGCCAAATTCTATTATATGTACAAAGAAGAGCTAATATTAATTTTCCTGAAACTATTGCAAAAATTTGAGCAGGAAGGACGCCTTCCTAAATCATTCTACGGAGCGAGTATTACCCTGACACCAAACTGGCAAAGACACAATGAAAAAAAAAAAAAAAATTACAGGCTAATATTCCTGATGAACATAGATGCAAAAATTCTCAATCAAATGCTTGCAAATTGAATCCAGTAGCAGATCAAGAAGTAAACTAACCAAGAGCAAGTAGGCTTTATTCCTGGGGTGCAAGTTGGTTCAATTGATGAAAATCCATAAATATAATTCATCACGTAAACTAAAATAAAAAATTACATGACTCTCTTAATAAACACATAAAAAGCCTTCAATAAAACCCAACATTTCTTCATGATAAAAGCCCTCAATGAACTAGGCATTGATGGAACATGCCTCAAAATAATAAGTGCCATCTATGACAAAACTAGAGACAACCTGAAAACATTCCTTTGAGAACTGAAACAAGACAAGAATGCCCATTTTCACCAATCCTATTCAACATAGTACAGGACCAAGTTCTATCCAGAACAGTCAAGTAACAGAAGTAAATATAAGGAATCCAAATAGAAAAAGAAGAGTGAAACTATCTATCGTTTCTGATGATATGGTTCTATACCTAGAATTCCAAAGACTCCTCTAAAAGCCCCCTGGAACTGATAAACAACTTTAGTAAAGATGCAGGATACAAAATCAGTGTACGAAAATCAGTAACATTTCTAAACACCAATAATATTCAAGATGAGATCCAAGTCAATAATGCAGCCCCATTTGCAATAGCCACAAATAATAAAAATATTTAGGTTTACATCTAACCAAAAAGGTACATGATCTCTCCAAGTAAAACTACAAAATGCTAATGAAAGAAATCATAGATAACCCAAACACATGGTAAAACATTCCATGCTAGTAGATTAGAATTACTATCATTAAAATGGCCATATTGCCCAAAGCAACCTACAGATTCAATACTATTTCTATCAAACTACAAACATCATTTTTCACAGAACTAAAAAAAAGAGCTATAATAACCTGTATTGGTGGAGATGCAGGTAATTGGTATTCTTCTAAACTCTTTGTGGGAATATAGTCAATACATTGATAATTTCACCGTATCAATTTCAATTGGCAGGATCAATCAATTTTTTTTTTCTGTACTTCAATCTCAAGCTTTACTTCCTGGAATCTGCCATGAAAAAAGCTGTTCTAAAATTCATACGGAACCAGAAAGGAGCCAGAATAGTCAAAGCATTCCTAAGCAAAAAGAACAAAGCCAGATACATCACATTACCTGACTTCAAACTGTGATGGAAGCTGCAGTAAACAACAAAACATGATACTGGTAAAAAAACAGACACATAGACCCATGGAACATAACAAAAACCCCAGAAATATAGCTGTACACCTATAGCCATCTGATTTTGACAATGTTGACAAGAATAAGCAATGGAACAAAGAATCCCTATTCAATAAGTGGGCCAGGTTAGCTGGTTGACCGCAAGCAGAAGAATAAAACTGGATGACTACCTTTTACCACATACAAAAATTAACTGCAAATGGATGCAAAATTTAATGTAATAACTCAAGCAATAAGAGTCCTAGAAGAAACCTGGGAAACACCTCTCTGGACACTGGCCTTAGAAAATAATTTATTTAACTAAGTCCTCAAAAGTAATTGCAGCAAAACCAAAAATGGACAAATGGGGCCTAATTAAACAGCTTCTGTATAGCAAAAAAAATAGCAGAGTAAACAGAACCTACAGAATGATAGAAAATTTTTCCAAACTATGCATCTGACAGAGGTTTAACATCCAGAAACTTTAAGAAACGTAAACAATCAAACAAGCAAAAAACAAATAACCTCATTTAAATATGGGCAAAAGAAATGAACAGATACTTCTCAAAAGAAGACATACAAGTAATCAAAAACAAGAAAAAATGCTGAACATCACTAGTCATCAAAGATATGAAAATCAAAACCACAATGAGATACTATCTCATGTGAGTCAGAATGGCTATTACTAAAAACTCAAGAAACAACAGGTGCTGGTGAGTCTGCTGAGGAAAGAAAATCTTTATACAATGTTGGTGAGAATGTAAATTAATTCTGCCACTGTGGAAAGCAGCTTAGATAGTTCCCAAAGACCTTAAAACAAAACTACCATTTGATCCAGCACCCCATTACTGGATATAGAATTACAAAAGTAAATAAATTATTCTACCAAAAAATGCATTTGTAAGTTTATTGCAGCACTATTCAAAATAGCAAAGACATGGAATCAATTTAAGTGCCTATCAATGGTGCATTGGATAACCAAAACGTCATACATATATACCACAGAATACTACCCAGCCAGAAAAGAGAATGAAATAATGTCCTTTGCAACAAAATGGATAAAATTGGAGGCCGATATCCTAAGCAAATGAACGCAGGAAGAGAAAACCAAATACCGCATGTTCTCATTTATAAGTGGAAGCTATTGGATAGTCATGCACATAAAAATGAGAGCAACAGACACTGGCAACTACTAGAGGGGGAATGTAGGAAAAGGCAAGGATTAAAAAACTGCCTTTGGGGTACTATGCTCACTAACTGGGTGATGGGATCAATTGTATCTCAAGCATTACCATCGCTCAATATACCCAGGTACAATACGTGCACATGTACTTCTTGAATCTAAAATGAAAGTTAAAATTACTTTTAAAATGATCTTATCTGATTATTATTACATAATAACAAGATAAATATTTAAATATATAAAAGAAAAACAATGCAAGAATATTCATGTCTGGAAAAATAAACTAATTTTTTAAATAGAATACAAAAAGAAATGACAAAACACTGATTAATTGAAATACATTAAAATTAAGGAATTCTTTTTATTTTCAAAAATGTGCACTAGAAGCCAAGCTACAGAGTTATACAAAATATTTCCTGTATATATAGCTCACAAAGAAACCAAATCTAGAATACATAAATAACTCACTTCAATCAATAATAATAAGACAAAGAAGACAATTTAAAATAGGCAAAAGATCCAATAAAAAGGGAGATAGATATTCAAATGACCAATGGACGTAAGAGAAGGTGCTCAATTTAGTAATCAGAAACTACAAATTAAATGTGCAATGTGTCTTTTAGAGATTTGGGGCTATATTAACAGAACAAGAAAACATGATAAAATATTGTATTTTTACATGGGCATTTTATTTAGGAAAATGGGTATTTTAAATTATTTGCAAAAGTAGAGGTGATTCAATATATGGTTTATGGAAATACTGGCTATTAATCTAGAAAACATATAGTTAGATCACTATCTCATATCATACAAAAATAAATAGATTTATTAAGCATAAGTTTAAAGCTAAAATTATTAAAAGTAAATATAGAATTTATGTGTTTTTAAGAGGATAGTTTTTCTATATAAAATGAAAAACTCAAGAATTATAAAAGAGGCCGGGCGCGGTGGCTCACGCCTGTAATCCCAGCACTTTGGGAGGCCGAGGCGGGTGGATCACGAGGTCAAGAGATAGAGACCATCCTGGTCAACATGGTGAAACCCCGTCTCTACTAAAAATACAAAAAATTAGCTGGGCATGGTGGCACATGCCTGTAATCCCAGCTACTCAGGAGGCTGAGGCAGGAGAATTGCCTGAACCCAGGAGGCGGAGGTTGTGGTGAGCCGAGATCGCGCCATTGCCCTCCAGCCTGGGTAACAAGAGCGAAACTCCGACTCAAAAAAAAAAAAGAATTATAAAAGAACAAACTGATAAATTTAGTAAATGAAAGTATAAACCTTTTCTAAATAATATAACAAAGTATAAAGGTAAGTGAAAAGCATGAAAGAAAAGCATAATATGTAATAGACAAAGCAATAATATTCACAATACTAAAACATGTTTTATATAATACATTTGATAGTATGCATAAGAGAAGCAGTCTCATGCAAAAGTAGGCAAATACCAGGAATAAACAGAAATGAAATGCAAATGGCCGTTACAAATATAAAAAATGCTTAACTTCATTAATAGTTCAGAGGTGCAAATTTAAATAAAAATGAAATGTAATTTATCAATCATTTTGGCAAAATTTAAAAAATAATAACCTGTGTTGGTGGTGATGCATGCAATTGGTACTCTCCTAAACTCTTCATGAGAATATAGTTAATACATTGATAATTACATTGTATCAATTTCAATTGGCAGGATCAATCAAATTCTTTTTTCTGCACTTTATCCTCAAGCTCTGCTTCCTGGAATCTGCCATGGAAAAATGCTGACACTTGTATATAAAACTATGTTATTGTAATGACAAAAACTAGAACAAACACTCACCAATAAAGTATTAATAAACCATCACATAGCCTTATTATGGAATGCTTTACA